TCGAAACGTCAGCTTTAGAATTTATACAGTGGCTAATTAACAATTATTCCACGAGCGCGCGCTGGATATGAGATGATAGATAGCCAACGAGGCGCTACGCGCCTCGTTGGCTATAATCATCTCATATCCAACAAGCGCGAGTAGAATAATTGTTTTATCAAAAAAAAAAAAAGAAAACGCTCCCAAGATATTAGACAAATCTTCTCGACTTTATTTCGTGAGAAGAGACCGGATGTTACGATGTACAGATATAAGATTATGGTATACTGGCTGATATACCATAATGGCTATGCCAATAAAAAGTCTTGAATTGCATTATCCAATGATCCAGTTTTTAATAATAAACAATTATTCCACGAGCGTGCGTTGGAGTAAAATGATAGAATATTATTTCTTATTTCATTATAGACTGATACACGGACGCTCGTGGAATAATTGATTTATCAAAAACGCGCCAAAACATCGATAAATTTTCCCATATCTATCGTGTAAGAACAAAAGGAATCTTTCAATGTTCAAAAAAATTTTCGATTTAACTTGTCTTCTTGTGCGCGCACGGTATAATGGCTCATAGCCAATGATGACTGAGCCAATAAAAACTTTCGAATTGCATTATCCAATGATCCAGTTTTAAATCATTAAAATTGTTAAAAACTGGATCATTGGATAATGCAATTCAAGACTTTTTATTGGCTTAGCCATTACGGTATACGAGCCAATATACCATAATCTAATACCTGTACATTGTAACATCCGGTTTCTTCTTACAAAATAAAGTCGAGAAGATTTGTCTTATATCTTGAGCGCGTTTTTTTTAATAAAACTATTATTCCACTCGCGCTTGTTGGATATAAGATGACTATAGCAAGCTCGGCGCTACGCGCCTCGTTGGCTATCTATCATCTCATATCCAACGCGCGCTCGTAGAATAATTGTTAATGATTATTAACCCGGTGGATGAGACAAATTTTCTCGTATTCGATCATATATTGATACTTGGACGCTAGTGTATATTTTATACCCATTGGCGACTAATCTTTGCTCAAGTTCTTGGCGCCCCCCCCCCTACCTTAATACAAATTAAAAGTCTCGTATTACAGTCAGCCAAACTGATTGGTTGCCTTCACTGGACATCCTTAGCGGTGAGCACAAAAAATAGCGTAAAAGGGCTTATCAGGTGCGTCCCGGCGCTGCAATTTTCCCTTTCGTAAACGGCCGTTGCCATTTGAAACAGTCGTTGCCATTTTTCGAAACAGTCGTTGCCATTTCCAGTAACAATCGTTGTCATTTATTACAGTCGATGCCATTTGAACGCGTGAATCGTGCTCGAGACGACGATTTCGTGCGGGAGTGAAAGCGGGAGTGTCGCTCCCAGGTCCCACGCATTCATTTCCCGTCACTTCCAACCAAAATGGCGGATGAACACGAAAATATCAATCAGAGCAATCTTCACGATAATTTGTCCGCAAACGTAACGATCCAATTAAAGTAGCCATAGAGGAAGTTACCAAGCGTTTCGAAAATGCCGAGTAAAGTGAGGCTGATAAAGAGAGCTTCAAGATTCATGCGTTCAAATGACATCGACTGTAATGAATGGCAACGGCTGTTATTGGAAATGGCAACGACTGTTAAAAATGGCAATGACTGTTTCGACAAATGACAACGACTGTTTTAAATCACAACAGCCGTTTCCGAAAGGGAAAATTGCTCCGGTGCTAGCTTTCTCAAGAAACTTCGGAAAGGGTTTGAACTCTGCCTTTGACGCTTGACAGTTGATAACACCTTTTATCTTTTTATCCTTGGGTGGTTTTCTTGAACAGGAATGGTGTCACCTGATGACCTAAACAACATTCTGAATGCTATGCGTGATAATAAAAGCCGGGTTTTTCTTTGAAAAGAAGTGGAAAAAATTCGGACATCCATGAATCCACATCCAGCCAACCAGAAAACTATGAACGTGCCACGAGAGAATGGCAAAGAGCTGCCTGGAATGCAGCACAAATATCGAGAAACAGTTCTCTTTTTTCCTACTGAAGGTATAGCACTAACTTCCAAATATTTAGCTTGGTTTTCAAAATGCGTTCACACTTTCCAGCTAACATCCCTGAGAAGCGCTTAATAAAGTTAAACCTCTAGAAACTGTAACTGAAGCAACTGCTGAAAAGAAGCCTAAAGAAAAGTTAAGGCTTTGACGGGATCCTAATTAAGCCTGGGCCTCCCCGCTACTACCAACTGAGTAACGAAGCCATATTTTGAGAGCGAGGCAAATTTTAGAGGGTTTGTCTTCCCCCTAAAGGAATCTGATCACAAGTTTCCATTCCACTCTCTGTTCTGTTAACCATTCTGACTCTTTCATTTTAACATTACGCACAGGCAAACTGTGATTATATTCGTACCGCCAGAAAAAATTGTAACATCCTTAAAACTAATTTCAGTTTGTTCAAAATCGTTTCATGATAGCTTTCATTAAGATACCTCTTGTGCAGTAACCATGGTAACTCATGGGTCAGTGCTTTTGACAGGTCAGTGGTGCCACACGTTCTGTACATATTGTTTCCGCTGGGCTCAGTTTACATCGGTTGGATCTCAGCAAGCCTTTCAGTCATATGATACTGAGAAACTGGCATGTTATATTCGAAAACACAAAGGTACACTTTTGAAATATCGCTTCAGTATCTCAACACTGGTATTTTAGTAACTTAATCATTCAACCATTCATGTGTTATTCATTTATAGTTGGCTGAGCCTCCCCCGGTGGGGATTTCCAGGTACAATAACGATAGTGATTATATGATGTAGCATGTGATATTCGGGATTCTTATATGCTTTTCAATAAAGACACACGGCCAGACCCTGACAGGTCATTTGATTTTTAGATGACAAAGGAAGCAAATTCAACTGCGAAAGCGTGCTTTAAGTTTCCATAATTTGTAAAACGTTAGGAGAGAAAAACATTTGGCTTAGCTTATCTCAACATTAAGGCCGAGATTGTAGAGTCTGGAGTGCAGTGCAGTGTGTTGGGCAACCAATGAGAACCAACCAATGGGAACCAACCAATGAGAACCAACCAATGAGAACCAACCAATGAGAACCAACCAACAAGAACCAACCAATGAGAACCAACCAATGAGAACCAACCAATGAGAACCAACCAATAAGAACCAACCAATGAGAACCAACCAATGAGAACCAACCAATGAGAACCAATGAGAGCAACGAGTGACCGAGGCACGATTGATTTTGGTGTAGCATCTAATTGGACTAGAGCGTGGCATGACACCTCAGCAACTGTAGTAATGTGACACCAAAGCAATTTCGGGTAACTCTCAACAGCAAATTGAATGTTTTGCAGTAGGCCATAGATATACAGGATAGATCATAGCAAATTACTGTACACTGCTGTAAGTCGCTTGAATCCTCCTTCGATCCTCCAACCATTTAGATGACGTTAAACAGCAGTTTTCCTTCAATTTCTCATGCAGGAATAAAAGACGTCTTATTTACCGGTGGTGACCCTATGGTGATGACAACAAAACAGCTTGAAAGATACATCAACCCACTCCTGCAGGATCCAACACTCGACCACTTGAGGACTATTAGGATTGGTACCAAGTCTCTTGCCTATTGGCCTTACCGTTATGTCACGAATGATGACGCGGACGATTTACTGCGGTAAAATAAATTGCTTTTCAGTTTGGATTTTTATGATGATAACTTAGCAAGGTCACATCAGGTTATTGGGGGTATCTGGCTGGACTTAAAGTAAGTCAGGTTAATTAAAAGCTATGAGAATGAAAGCAAGGGTTCTTTAATTCATTTTGGGAATTCCCCAATCATGAACAATGTCTTGTTCTTATGCTCACGCTTTGTGACTTAATAAATGAATGAGATTTTCCTTTTGCTCAGTTGGTTCAGTACGATTTTATTGGAATGCTATTGGACATTTTTCCAATCAGGTCCATGAAAAGGCAATCGAAAAGATATAAAAGGGGAATCTGTTTCTAGGTTTCTTTACCATATCTCGTACATAGTAACTTGAGCTATATTTTGCTATGGACTTCCTCTAAGTCCTTTGCAGTTAAAGCAGTGCCTGTCCTTCCCTATCTCGGACATCGAATGTCCTGCTCTCACGACTCATTATTAGTAACTTTCTTCACTTTTCAGGCTGTTTGAAAAAGTCACCATGTCCGGTCACCATCTTGCTATCATGGCTCATGTGTCCCATCCCCGCGAACTCCAATTACCTGTCGCCAGGGAAGCAATCCGACGGATACGCATGACCGGAGCAGTCATTCGCACCCAGGCTCCATTGATCCATCATGTCAATGCAGACTCGAGGGTCTGGGTTGAAATGTGGCAGTCCCAGCTCTCTCTCGGCATGGTTCCTTATTATATGTTCGTGGAGCGAGACACCGGCGCTAAACATTATTTTGAAGTTCCGTTGGTCGAAGCTTCCCGAATCTATCACGAAGCTATTCAGCGCGTTTCCGGAGTTGCGAGAACGGTGCGTGGTCCGTCCATGTCTGCTGCTCCGGGAAAAGTACATTTGATAGGAACTGCAGAAATTGCCAATGAAAAAGTATTCGTTTTGCAATTTCTTCAGGCACGAAATTCTCAATGGACTGGACGACCGTTCTTCGCAAAATACGATGAGAAGGCAGCATGGTTGAACCAGTTAAAACCTGCGTTTGGAGAAGATAAATTTTTCTACGAGGACGAACTCAAAGAGTTAGAAGACGCTGGAAATTCCTCAGGAGTCCTGTTTCAGTATCAATAAATTGTCCGGTTCGAGAAGAGAAAAGAAAAGAGTCACGAGGGAAACTGATTAACGAATGCAATTTCTTTTCACCTCGATCAACTGAAACTGTCTTATTTTACGTTTCAACTCACCCGTGCCAGACCCCCTTGCCACGTTCTCGATCAGTAGGAGACGAGGAACAAAAAGCAACTGAGGGACAATCGATTTCTCTCGCTCGCGAGGTTTTCTCGTTCGTGTCCACAGACCGAGAGCCTGTAACAGCCTGTACTGAACAGACAACCAATAACACTCATCAGATCAGAAGAACTGGACTCTCGGTTCCCCATCTCAACGGGCAAATGACTGCGTTAGTGGCTTCGAGGAGAAAATTGAATCGCTCGTATATAGCCTAATTAAGTTTGTGATGAAATGTAGTTAGTCAGGAACAGTCACAAGCCTATATTTGATGTGTTAGGTTTAGTTGATCGTGTACAACTTAAACAAACAAAATTGCAAAAAAAAAAAAAACAAACAAATAATAATAATGAATATAATTATACTCACTGCGACTTCAATAGGTCGATCCCATTCCCTTACAAGTATGTTTAAGGTACAACATTTCATTTGTCGCCACTTCGAAGAGACGTTAATAAATATAATAACCTCAAATTTTAGCGAAACGAACGCAATTCATCACATCACCCACTACTGTCAGTTAAGGCATTCGCTTATGAACATATCATATGCAAACAACAGCGAACCCGTATTAGACAGTCATCTCACACCAGCTAAGTAATTCGCATATGGACAGCATAGTTGAGCATTTTAAGCGAAATATCAAGAAGGTAGCTGATATATCGGATTCCCACACGGCAATCATGTAATGAAGTCGTAATCAGTCCTAGTTTTTAACTTAAGCTTAACTGATCATTTCCCATGTTTAAATAAAGATTTACATAAGTACATACACAATCATATGCATACTATATAATTTGGATATATCAACAACGATATATCCGACGAACGTCTAACGCTCGAAACTTCAGCTTTTGTAATCGTTACGGTGGCCACTTTACCATTTCAACTTTGTTGATATATCCAAATTATTTCGTTACCCCCACCGACGCAGCCCCTAACAGTTTCTTTTGAAACTATCTGCCTTTATTGATATGCATACTATGTTGTATTTAGCGGTCACCCGAATCACAGGTTGACTTGCGTTATTTACGTTTAATATTTACCCTTATTGTCTTAAGCAGAAAGATAATCCGCAATGCGTTTGGAACATTTGACCTCAATGTTGTGACATGAATTGATTTCGGAAGATAGACATGGAATAAATATTGCTCGAGAAATCCTTCTTAGTTTTTCTTGAGTAATTTTTTAATATTTAATGGGGAACAAAATTACAATAACTAAGGAGAAAAATTTAGGGACTTTATCGTTATTATTAAGGACTTTGAAACCAACCCCTTTACCATTTAACACCCTGAAGTGATTGAAATGTAACTTCTCCTTAAAACATCTATACGTCATGCAGCAAACAGGGTATGACAATACCCAAAACTTATCAGGTAGAAGTTATCTTCATCCAATACCAAATTCTCGTAACTTACTTATATGGAAATGTTTGGCAGCTAGAGGGGAGAATTGACAGTCAGATCTTGGAAGTTAGAGGGTCAATAGGGTCCCGCTTGATAGCAGTAACAGTCAGCTAATTAGCTAAATTAGCGAATTAGTTAGCTTATTTAGGTTAATTTGTCAGCAACAGCTCAACGGAAGTCCTTGATATCAGAATCATCCGACTGACGTTGCCTGCCTTGTCATGTCTTCGACAGAAGTTTAGATTGGGAAGGTAATTACAAAAGGACACTTACTGCTTGATAGATTTCTTTCAACTATATTTAATATTCAGTCCTTAAATACTACAGACAGCTATTGTTTTCTCATTACTAATCGATCTAATCTCAACTCTGATACTTTGATATTTGGGCCTTGAAAGGCTCGGTGGCAATTCACGTTATTTACACATTATAATTGCATGATTTGATTCTCGTTTTGTACATACAACTGCATTCCCTGTACATATAATACACAGGAAGACGATGGCGTGACAAATTATCTTGCTTGTCACGCCAGGTCTGAGTAACGTATCTCGGCTGTAAATGAAATTTTCAGATGACGTCATTTCGTCAGTTAACTTTCACGTTCCGGTTTTTTATCTAATCTTAGCAGAGTCTGTCCGCTTAAAGTTTGATTTCTATATGTGTAATAAACTTTCTAAAATATCTCATTCAAAGATCTAATTGAAACCAAGATTCCGTAACACTGTCATTAGTAAATTAAAACAATAAAATTATTGTATCATATATTCTTTTTTTTTTTTTTTTTTTTTTAAACCTGCCATATCAGGCTTACTTGTAAAATTTGAAGATCTAATTGAAACCAAGATTCCGTAACACTGTCATTAGTAAATTAAAACAATAAAATTATTGTATCATATATTCTTTTTTTTTTTTTTTTACAGTTAAACCTGCCATATCAGGCTTACTTGTAAAATTTGAAGCAGTTCCTTTACAAACGAAACCCTTCTCAACACCAATTAAAATAATGCATAGATAACCATTACCCACCTCTCCCCTAAACCATCATTAACCCTAACTTGTTAACAGTTGACTGTTGTTGGGTTAGGGGAGAGGAGGGGAGGCTGAGGTGCGCAGTTGGTTAGATATTGACTTCCATGCACCATCTTCCTACACTTTTGAAGACCAGTTTTAAACACACCATTTCGATGTTGCTCACGCAGGGAATAAAAACAAATAACTACACAGAGGTGTTTTTTCCTGAAGGTTAAAGGCAACTTAAGCAGCAAGTTGCACTTTTCTCGCTGCTGTTTTTGTAGCAGATTGCGACAACTGAGATATATGTTCTGATAAGATCAAGGATCCATTGAGTATGCGCCACGATCTCGCGCAATACCTACCGAAACCCAACGCTTATTTAAAAAAATAGTCTTGTAGTGACAGTCCTTGCCCGTACAAATAACTGCAAGGTTTAGTACTCTTCTCAGGAAACTTGCGGACGCTGACTAGAGTAAATCAGAACGCACGACAAAAACACAATTTAAATCTGTTTGGCATCCAAGTTACTGCTTATGGGCGCCGTCCGTTTAAACGGAAAAGGGAAAAATCACACCATGCTCCTTGAGCTCTACTTATTTTACGATTTCTGAAACTTAATTGAACAGAATTTCGAGCGCCCGAGTTACTTTAAACAGACTACCGCAAGCCGCCATGAAGAGTACGAACGAAACGACTGAAGCGACCCAAGGAGAGTGTTCATCCAAGTCATAAAGCTACTGTGCATTACAACGCACCCATCACAAACTCAGCAATCACTCTACCAAAGGCCACAACTTCCAACATAATAACACCACGAATCACTAAGAGACAGAAAACCTTCAGGTTTGTTGGCACCTGCCAGTACTTTGTATAAGGCAATGTATTTTTTTTCCACGCTCACAGTATGGTTGCAGCTCATAATTTACAGGGTTAAGTACAAAGTGAGATCACTCAAGAGTTACTTTCCTTGCGTGAATCAGCAGCGCTTCCGGACTCAGAACCATTCTCCTCTTCTTCAATGATCTCATCTTTCAAGGATGTCTCTATCATCATCAACTCCTCGTCAGACCCTTCCACCTCTTGTCGTTCGCTTTCGTCTGTTTCTATCTTATTCAATTTCCGTTTCTCTCTTTCTTCTTGCTTAATAACCTCTATCCACATTTTGTAATTATTTTCAATGTTCTTCGTGAGATCGCTTGTTATCTTCCGTCGCTTCCGACGACGGGATTTCTTTGGCTTTCTTCGTTGTTGTTGTTCTTCTTCGGTATTCCTTGATGATTCTTCGCTGGAGTCTTCATTGTCGCTCTCCAAGTCCGAACTACTGGCCTCGACGTCGACCCATTCCCCCGGTAGAAGCCCGGCGTTTGCGTATGCATTGTATAAAGGAGCAACCAAATGATTGATGAATGATTCCTGAAGCTGTGCCACGTGAGGATGATCACGGTCCATATAAGGAGATATCGGCATGCCACGCCCTAGTTCGTCGTCTCCCTGAAATTCAACGAGAGAAGAAAATGGATATTCAAAACAAGACGCATCTCAATCCTAGAAACACAGAAATGCATACCACTGTTCTACTGTTGAATACATCACACGTCGGAAATGACAAAAGTAAAGTTGAAGAATTAGCTGAAGAACATAAGAGAAAATCTTCCATAACCCTAACACCGTTTTACTTTTGACGTTACTATTTTTCCGATTTATTTTTCTTCGTCTTATCAGTACGATTGCGATGTTTTCTTCCTGTGTCCGACGTAAAAATTGTTAACTATGGACACAAACGTAAACTTTAAAGCTTCTGCCTTACATTCTTTAATCGCCACTTTTTGTAACGTCAAGTTCACTGCTTTTCATATCAAACGCATGAATACTTCTCTTGTTTTCAAGATCTAATTAATTTTTGAGCGGGGATTTCGGTCTTGGGAGTTTAATCCTCGACAAACCACCCCTCCCACTACTTTATAGACAGACCCGACCTCCCCCCCCCCCCCCCAAGACATTTAGTCACGTTTCCCTCACAGTTCGCTGGTGGTATTTAAACCCCTGAGGTGAGACACAGATTAACCTGCGTACTAGGCAGGGAACCCTGGGCACTAACCATAAGCCAGCGTAACGTACCAAAATCGTATCACTAAACACTGGGCTGTGTAGCCTAAATATAATATTTCTTTCTTCTTCTTTCCCCATTACCTGCTCGTAGAACTCTTCAACAATCCTCTCGGTCCAGCGAGTGTGTAGGTCCCTGCGCTTACTCGGTCCTGAAATGTCTGCCATTTTGATGCAGATCTGAAGAGTCAGGAGACGATCAGCTTCTTGCGACCAATCTATTCCACCACCCTCTTCAGAAATCTGTCAAAAATGAACGAAAAGGACTTAACTCGCCTTGCTTGAAGACTCTCTTAACTCTCGGGCGCAAACTGGCTGACCGATCTCGGATCAAAGGATACCTTACGCAAAGTCTTACTAGAGCTTTACTTCTGTAATTTGAAACTGGACAAAAATTGCCGCTTTATGCTACGAAAACTACTTCGCAATTCACGGTTAGTGAATTTGAAAAACTCTTCAAGTTTATCAATCAAACCATTAAGCAAGAGCTTAGTATAATTATCTGTCTGCCAAAGGGACATATAAATAAGTTTTTTAATCTTTTCGTCCTCAACCACCCGCCTTTATTTCTTTTCCTTTTTTAAATGTTCTGTAAAAAACTTGTTACAATAGTCTACTCTTCTTACCTTGGCATTAAACTCGGAGAGCAAATCAAAGTGTCTCTTGAGATCCGTGGCCAAGATGGCTTCGATCGCAAGAAACCTGAATCGTTTGAATTCCACGGGTTCCAACGCGCACAGGAAGTTATACTTTGGATCTGACATAAGAAGCGAGAATGCGGCAGCGGCGTGATGATTCTCCAACACTGACCTGTCGTTATACAATAAGGCCTGAAACAAAAAAGGAAACGTGTTTGGAACATAAGAGTCTTTAACCTGTAAAACATCCAAACAAACAAAAATTGGTCTACCCTTTCAAACAGACAGATGCAAAACTAAAACCGATCATGACTCGGTCACTGCGTTCTTCCGCCCTTGATTTGTCCCGGAAATTCGCGCCATCCTTTTGGCCAATCATATCCTGAACCAAAACCAATCGACGCTTTGACACTAGCACTTTCCCGCGCTTTACACTCTGAGTTCTCACTGGCTCCTTGTAATATTTACCTTTGTTTCGAATGGATGGTGTGATTACTTTAGTTTTGGTGATGGTTTTGCGGCACTTCATCAAAAAGCGCTCACGAAGCAATAACATAAAAACTCTTCTACCAACACAATGTGTGGTCTCCTTCGCAGCCGATCTTCAGGGATATCACGCAGCGCTAATCTCAAAAGAGCAGCTCCGTAGGACAACACAGTACGTGCCGATAAAGCAGTGTGTGATCGTTTG